AGCCGTCGGGATGCCGACAAGAAGCAAATGCCCAAATCCTTTAAATGCCAAGGGAAATCAATGAATTTGGCCTCTTCGGGCCCTCCTGGAGGACCTCTTGGAGGCCTCTTGGGCCGTCTTGGGCCGTCTTGGAGGCCTCCTGGGGGCCTCGTAGGCTGTCTTGGGCCATCGTGAGGCTATATTAGGCCGTCTTGGAGGCGTCTTGAGGCCATCTTAGCCGTCTTGGAGGCCATCTTGGCCTTCTTGGAGGCATCTTGGAGGCCATCTTGGGCCATCTTGAGCGAAAAAAGCCGACGAGGCAGGCAGCCGGCGGGACGCGCCGAAGCCCCCGGGGGGAGTTCTTTGGAAAAAAAACCAAGTCCCAAACCGCAATTTTCTAGCACGCCAGGCACCCTTGCGATGAATCGACAGGGGGCGGCGGATCTAAAGGTCTTCGGCCCATCCCGCCACCCTGCCTGTGTTGTGGGTGTGACGCCTAATGGATGTTCGCTGGGATGTCGTGGGAGGCTTCTCGGGGGCCTCTTGGAGGCAGTTGGGACGCCTCGTGGGGGCTGTTTGGGGGACTCTTGGGGTATCGTTTGGGCCTCTTGGGGCCTCTCGGGGTCTCTTGGGAGGCTCTCGGGGGCCTCTTGGGGCCCTGAGGACACCTGTGGGGACCACCTGGGGGCCTCTTGGGTCGGAAGGCTATGATTTTCTGCTCGTGTTCCTTCTTTGGGGCCCCCTGTGGGGCCATCTTGGGGCCCTCTTGGGCAATTTAGGGCACCTCTTTGGCAGTCTTGGGGCCCTCTTTTGCTGTTTTGGGGCCCTCTTGGAGGCCTCTTGGGCCATCTTGGAGCGTCGGAAAGCCGAAAAGGCGAGAAGGCCCAAATCCTTTTTGGAACAAAAAGATCTTGGCTTCTCGGGCCCCTCCTGGGAGGCCTCTTGGAGGCCTCTTGGGCCGTCTGGGCAGCCTCTCGTGCCGTCCTGGGGGCCATCTTGGGCGTCGTAGAGCACTCATCGGGCCTGCGAGGGCCTATTAGAACCCTCTTGGCCCGTCTTGGGGCCGTCCCGGGCCCGAACAAAAAACCAGGGCAACCGCGGCAGGCCCCGGAAGATTTGGCAATCTGCGCTCCCCGCCCCTATGGGAGGCCCCTCAGGAGAGAGGGCCGAGGCTCCGGAGACGGGGCAGGGGACCCGAGGACACGCCCACTCCGTGTGCCCAGAGGCACGGTGGCGGATGACAGTCAGCCCGCACAGTGCCCTCGTTCTTTTTGTCCTCGTCCTTGTGCTTCTCTCCCTCCTCGTTGTTCATGCTCCTCCTCGCTATCCTCACGTTCGCCACGTCGTGCTCGTCATCTACTCCTCGTTGCCCTCGCCTTCCTTTTATTCTTCTCCCAACACGCCCATTTGACTCAAGCGGCGCTTCCCGTTCTTGTCCGATCAGGTTACAGTCAACCCGCACAGCAAGGATAGCCAACCTTCCCAAGGGCACACTCGCATCCTTGCCTCCTCGGTCCGTGCTTGGCCACTCTCGTGGGCCGCGCCCCGCCCCGCCCGGCTTCGAAGCGGCCTTCCACGGCCCCCGCGTCCCTCTCGCGCATCATTTACGACTCGGGCGGGCCGCATCTGGGCGACAGCGACCTGCTGCGAGCACAACGTGCGCCTCCCGGACCTCGGGGTCCGAGGAGCGCCCACCTCCCCCGTCGGAAGGCTCGGGCGGCGGCCTGCCGGCCTCTCCGGGGGCCCCGCTCCCCAGCCATCCTTTTGGGGAGCGTCGGGACGACCGTGAAGCGACGAACCCTCGGCCTGGGGGTCGTTTCCTTGTTCATTGTTTTGCCGATCAGCGCGGGCCCTCGCCACCCGCCCCCCCTCCCCTCCCCCATGGAGTAGATCCTGGCTGCTTGGGCGCCTGTTTCAGGCAGGTGGAGTCTCCCCTAGAGGACGCTTGATTCCAAGCAGTCGCATCAAGCATAGGTCCTGGGCCAGACCCCCCCCTCCCACCCCCCTTCCACCCGATATTCGCCGAGTCAGAAAACGCTCACCCTGAGAGAGAGAGTGGGCGAGAGGGGTCGAGATCCCCAGGCGCCCGCTCAGGGACGGGAGCACGGGACCACGCCAATGGCGGTCACGGCCGCCAGCGCGCACGATGTAGTAGGCATATATCGGGATCGGTTCGCGAGCGCGAGACGCTCGGTAAAACATGTACGCGGACGAAGGCCCGCAGACCACAGTGTATACTAAATCCATGAGATGCATGAAGAGATAGCAGCTTCTAGATCTGATTCTGAGTTCCCGTGTCACACGTTATGGTTGTTTGATTCCATGGTTGACTGTGGAGGTTTCCTTAGATTTGTATTTCCTTCTCGTTCTGTCCTTGGGTGCGTGGCTGAAGTGGGGTTCCGCGGTGCGGTTTGTTGTTGTTGTTGTTGTTGTTGTTGTTGTTGTTGTCGTCGTCCCATTCGCGACCCAGCCCGCGACCCACCCCGCGACCCACCCGCGACCCACCCCGCGACCCGCCCCGCGACCCACCCCGCGACCCACCCCGCGACCCACCCCGCGACCCACCCCGCGCCCGCCCCTTCACTTTTATCCGCAACTGCGGGGTGCTACATACATACATATATATATATATATATATCCAGCTGCCTCTGGCAATTCCGCCGCCGTGCCAGAGCAGCATTCTGGGTGACAACGACCCCCAGGGAGACGCCATGGCCGCCCAGGGACCTCCAGGAGGTAGGGGTGGTGCAGGCAGGTGGGCGCAACGTGAGGGGCGCGTCGGTCCATTTGAAGACTACAGGCGCCCTGCGAGATGGCAGTCCTCCACGCCTCAACGTGCCAGGAGGTCCTCGGGCTTTCTCTGCGTTGAGGCTTTCAGGGGATGGGTCCGCCATGTTGAGGACCTCCCCGTGAAATCAACGTGGCGGACCTGGTCAGGACATCACACGTTGGGTTCGCCACGTTGAGGACTCCCCACGTTGAGGGACCCATTACCCTGTGAAAGCCCGAGGACCTCCCCGTGAAGGCGTGATCCCCCGAATTGCAGGGACCTCGGCGTGGCGGATCCATTTCCGGTGTGCACGATGTGTGCGGCTCGCAGCCCACGCCCGCGCCGAAAGGGCTGCGAAACGCCAGAGGAGCGAGGGCCCCCGCTGCTGTCCGCGCGGTGGGAGGGCCGCGCCTTCTCGCTCTCTCTCTCTCTCTCTCTCTCTCGCTCCCAGCGCCTCGCCACCTCCAGGTGCGCCCCCCTGGCTCGGGCCCCTCCCCCGCCCCGTCGGCCCTGACTTTCCTGCAGGGCCAACGCACAGCACCAGCAACTTGGCGTGCGAATTCCCGTCGAGGTTTGGGGCGGTCCAGATCGAGCTATAGGCCTGGAGGTGCATGTCGCAGGCTTTTTTCCCCCAGTCCCCGGGTTCTGCCCGAAACGTTTGGCCGCTCAGAGCACGGGGGAAACCGTGGGTGGCACCCCAAGGGGCCTATCCGGACGCACCCGTATCGAGGATGGACGCCCCCCCTCGTGTATCCCAGGGTCGGGCTCCACATGTTTGGTCCGTTCGAAAACCTCCAGAAGCTTGGGATAGGGGTCGACATGCCCCCTGCTGCTGGGGGCGCCGCCGCTGCACCCCCCCCCTGCCGGCTGCCCCCTCCCCCGCCGCCAGACATCCCCTCCCCAGATCGGCGGCCCAAACATTCTCAGGAGGGAAAGAAACGCACAGACGTAAACAATTGTCGATCCACAACAATATGTGGGAATGGATGGGGAGTGGAGGGGTAGACGAAACTCAAGAAAACATGGAAACGTATGAGGAATCCAGGATTCGTGTATAGTTGTGTGTATGTGTGCGTGTGCTTGTGCGTATGCGTGTGCGTGTGCGTGTGCGTGTGCGTGTGCGCGTGCATGTGCGCGTGCGTGTGCGCGTGCCCGTGCGTGAGCGTGTGCGCGTGCGTGTGCGTGTGCGTGCGCGTGCGCGTGCGCGTGCGCGTGCGGGTGCGCGTGCGTGGTGTGTGCGCGCGTGCGTTTGTGTGTGTGTGTGTGCTTTTGTGTGTGTGTGTGTTTGTGCTGTGTTGTGTTGTGTTTGTGTTGTGTTTGTGTTGTGTTTGTGTTGTGGTGTGTTGTGTTGTGTTGTGTTGCGTTTGCGTTTGTGTTTGTGTTGTGTATGTGTTGTGTTGTGTTGTGTTGGGCTGTGTTGTGTTGTGTTGTGTTGTGTTGTGTCGTGTCGTGTCGTGTCGTGTCGTGTCGTGTTGTGTTGTGTTGTGTTGTGTGTGTGCTCCTGGGCCCCTTCAGATTCGGAGGAGGAAGGACGATACCGCTGCCCTTCCCTCGTTTTCGCCTTTCTGGGGCTCCTTGGCGGCCCTCGCCGCCGCCGCCGCTGGTGAAGGTCAGAACGCGCCCTCGGAGAGGTCCTGGGGATAACGGTATCGGCACCTTTTGGTTTCCCCGAAGATGGGGCCTTGCGGTACCCAAGCCCGAAGGTTTTGGTTTGGCATCTTTCTCTCATAGCGTTTGGCATTGAGGAGTCCCACAGGGGGGGACCACAGAGGCGTCCCCCAGGAGGGGCGGAGAGTCCGGGGCAGCCCCCCTACCCAGATCGTACGGTTCGGCAGCCTTGTTTGTTTGTCTGAGACTCCCTCGCAAAAAGCATTCGGGAATCGAGCTCTCGGATGGATGCCCGCTACATGTTTGGCCCAGACGGCCACGATCTTTTGTTCAACATGCCGTACGGGGCACATGTGCGTGCTCGCACCCCTGTCCCCCCGACCTCCTACTCCTCGACCGGCCTCTGCACCTGTGCTGCTACTCGGGTGCTTTGCTGGGGACTTTTTTTGCACCCGGCGATTTCGCGATATTTGGGGCCCCCAGGACCCTCGCAGATCGATCCGGCTCGTGGAATGCCGCAAAAAAATCAGGGCAGGGATCCAATGAATGTTTTTCAGAATGCTGCGTTTTTTACGCTGGATTGCAGGTAAAAGGGCGACGGGCTTCAACTAATGTAAGTTCCATCTGGGGTCCCACCGCTGAGCCGCTGGCCCAGGAACCCGTGGCCATCTCGCCGCGCCTAATGGCGCGCGAGCAGTTCGGGGGCATCACTGAGGAGCAGCTGAGGGAGGCTGGGGTCACCATCTCGGGGAGGGCGAAGCCTCAGACCCTGGCGTCGCAGCAAGAGACGTCTTCTTTTTAGACTCGGACAAGTTTGCTTGCAAGGGGTGGGGTGGGGGGCGAGGCCCGAAAGGAAATCTGGGTTTCGCGCAAGTCGGGACTCGCTTGCACGCCTGTTCGTCCCAGCGCAGGATGCTGGACAAGGAGTCGGACAGGGGGTGGGCGCCGTGCATGCAAGCTGGCCCGAGCCTGAAGCATCACAGCCTCAAGAGCTCGCGGCGGCCAGTCTCTGCCCACCGTGTTCGGCCCCAGGACCGTGATGAGACAGCTCCGGCTGGAGAGCTCGGGCGGACGGCCACACAGGGGGTAGTACACGCGGGGAGGCCGAGGCTTGCAGGCACAGCGGCTCCAGAGGGGCCCCACCCGGCCCATGAACTGCCAAAGGGTGCACGCTTCTGCCCCCCCCCGGCTCGGCACGAACGAGATGGGTACGGAAAGAATGGGTACAATGCCCAACAGCAGTCCCTGTTCATTTTGGACAGGACTCGCTGTCCACGCCGCCGTGGCCTGTGTCCATTCGAGACAGAAGGCCGCCTGCCCAACAGCGGCCGCTGTTGGTTTGGGACAACATTTGTTGTTGGGCATTGTACCCATGTTTTTTCCGTACCCATTTCGGGCGTCCAAACCAGCGTCTCCTGCCCCCCGTGAACGAACACCCGAAAAACTTGCCTCGGGGGGGGGTGCGAGAATGTTGCGACGTCCCCAGATCGTTGGATGCCCGATTTTTCCGGTCGAGATCGGCCATCCAACGGTCAGGGTCGGGGGAGGAGGGCAGGAACGAGAAAGAACCGCCGAGAACCGACGAAGACATCTGATTCAATGGGCAATTGGGGGACATCAAGGGAATTCGTTGGTCGGCGGCGAGGTAGGTCCAACAAGCGGTCATGCAAACGGCGGGGCGCATCCGTGGCGAATCAAGGCGCAGGGGTGCAAGCGGGCGAGGGACGAGGAGGAGGAACGCCGAACTCTGCTGCGTGCAGCTGGTTTCGTCCCCGCCTCTCGGCCCACTCCGCGATAGGTGTGGTTTCGCTCCTGGCGCCTCGCGGGCGCGGGCCAACCCGCTGCTTTCCAGCCGCTTCGCGGACCCTCCCTCTGCCAACACCCTTCTTCTCGAGGGAGGGGCACCCATCCCGACCCCCAAAACTGGCATCTACCACGATCAGGACCTTTGGCTTAGCGTGTCGCTCCGTGAGATCCGGCCCACCACGCTTCGCCCCGACACGCTATCCACGTATTGGGCCCCCTGGAACCTCCCGCCAGCCCCGCGGAGCGGAGAGACACGTTACCCGCTCGCAAAGCATAGCGTGCCGCCGGTGCCGCCGCAGCGACGCGCTAAGCAAAAGTTCCCGGCCGTAATACCCCTGAGGGAGGAAAGTCCACTCCGACCCCCATGAGTGGCGTTTACCGTGCAGTGCTCACTAAAAACGCCCATGTCATGATCGATTCCTGCCCTGGGTGCGTTGTCCAAACGGCTTCGCTTGTCGGGGTGCGTATTGCGACTTGGTACCGTTCGGACGTGTGCTTCTTTTCCTGGCGAGGATCATCGAGGAGCATCCTGGATCACCGAGCAACCCAAAAAAAAGGAAATCGAACAATGCACGGGGAATGGACGTCCGAGCGATAGCGAGCGCTGGGGTGCTTCTTGCGACGGTGGTTCATATGCCCTCTGCTGTCGTCCACCCTGGCCATTGTGGAGGAGGATGGCGAGGAGGCCAGGGAGGTTCAGAGAGACCAGGGCCACTACCTCAGAGGAGGCTCGTCACCATCGGTGTCACCAGCGGGCTCCCTGAGGCAGGCCGAGGACGTTGGGATCACGGGCCAGGATGTTATCGACTACGCGCTGTTCCTGGGATTGGATCCAGAGGCGGACGCTGAGCTGATGCACCTGGCGCGCGAGGGCCTGGAGGCGTCAAACGCCTGCGGCTGGAAGGCGTACCATGACCAGGAGGGCAAGCTGTTTTATTTCAACTTCAAGACTGGCGTCAGTTCTTGGGACCACCCAGCAGACGCGACTGCACTTAATCTGGCGAGGGAGAAGAAGAGAGAGAAGCTGATGACACGGCCGAGGAATCGCGCAAACTACACGGGCGAGACCCTCAATAATTTGGAGGCAGACGTCGCTGAGAAGCACGATGAGAATCACAGCAAAGCGTTTTCTGTGAAAGATGAGGGTTGGTGGCCAGGCTACCGCCGATCAGTTTTCGCGGCAGTCAGGAATGCCATCGGCAACAATGCGGAGCATGTGGTTATCATCCAGGTTCGCAGCGATGCCGCGTTAGGCTCTGCTGCGGATGAGTTTTCGGCAATGCTAAGTGAATTCCAGACTTGCTACCTGGAGAAGAAGGAGCCGTTTTTTGCAGGAGATGGTTCCGTGAAAAAGCTAGATTGGGAAAATATGTCAGAGTTACGGTTGTCTGGCAAACACCTCGAGAATACCCTCATGCACATCACAAGTCAGCAGACTACGCGTGCGATCATTGTGTCCGTAAGTGATCACGCGGTGGACGCTGTGATAGAGGTTGTTCGACAACATAACCGAAGGGGTGGCGTCACGGAAGTCGACGCGGCATGGGCCCCTAAGTACGAGGTCGTTTGAATGAGTTCTCTTTGTGACTTGCCATTGTGTTCTCCATGCCGCCAAAGGAGTGCCGTGCCTGGGAGAAACAGGCACACGCACCAGGATGAACATCGTTGCAGCGAGGCACGCGGTCGGACGCCACGCCTCGAACACGCAATTGCCCTTAGCACTTGCAGTAAGCCTTGATTCCAAACCATCTTGTGGTCTTGGGTCCTCGTTTTCAATCCGCAGCGCCCCGCGTTCACTCATTCTCCCTCCCTCCTGCTGCTCCTGCTGCTGCTCTCCACATCTCCATGTCGGCAGACCCCTCCCAAGGTTCGTGACCCTATAGGGAGCTCCAGCGAAGGCCCCAGTGGCACGAGTCGCATGGCGACCGCCACTTCGTTTCGGCACACCCCTCACACAAGCTCCACTGGAGGCCCCAGTGGCAGGAATCGCATGGCGGCGGCCCCCCCTTGTTTCGGGAAGTCCCTCACACGGTTCGTGGACACCTAGGGAGTTCCACCGAAGGCCCCAGTGGCAGGAGTTGCATGGCAGCCGTCCTTTCGTTTCGGCACGGCCCTCACACGGTTCCTGGTCCGATAGGGATCTCCACCGAAGGCCCCAGTGGCAGGAGTCGCATGGCGACCGCCACTTCGTTTCGGCACACCTGGACCCATCGGGAGCTCCACCGAGGGCCCCAGCGGCAGGAGTCGCGTGGCGGCCGCACCGATTTCGGCTCGCCCTTCACGCTTCGTGGCCCCATAGGGAGCTCCATCGAAGGCCCCAGCGGCAGGAGTCGCATGGCGGCCGCCCCTGCGGTTCGGTGCACCCTCCACACGTTTCGTGGACCCATCGTGAGCTCCACCGAGGGCCCCGGGAGGCCCCATCGGAACGAACCTCACACGCCTCGTGGACCCAGAGGGAGCTCCACCGGAAAGCGTCCAAAGAGGGCCCACGAAGGGCCAACGCTGGCCCAAGAGGGGCCCAAGGCGGCTCAAGATGGCCCCACGAGGGCCCCCAGAGTGGCTCCAGGCGGGCCAGGAGTGCCCCCAGACGGGTGCAAGACGTCCCAAGGGGATCCAAGAGGGCCCCAAGGTCGATCTGTACACCACTCGCGCATGGGCGTGTCAGGCTGTTGAGCCGATTTGCAGGTGACCTCCGCCTACAAGCGGCATCCCCTCCGCTGACCAACACCGTTTTGCTTTCGGACTGGCCAACATGGGCCGAAGAGAGCGGTCCAGGGCCGCGTGAGTTGTAGAGACCAAGTATCACCGCGCCAAGCAGAGCCCCAAGACCGTACAGCTGAACCGAGGTATAAGATCGAGGTAGGTTCCGGGAGGTACCCTGATGTTCTTCGTGGTTGCTAGACGTTTTTGTGCATCCTGGGGAGGGTACCCTTGGACGTTCTGTTTGCTTTGGCCGACGGAGGGTCTCATGGTCTTGAGGGGTGTTCTTCTGGCTTAGGTCCGACTGTAACAGGCATTCAACAAGCTCCTTCCAAAGGCCCTCGAGACGGCCCCCAAACCGTGGTGGCGGAATTCGTCGTAGGCAGCATCGAGGGAAGGAGGGCCTCCGAGGAACGGCGGGACGGATGGTGGATCGAAGGACAGGAAGGGAAGAGAATGAACGGGAGGGTCAAGAAGTGCGGAGAGGAAATGGGAGGGTAGGGTAGCAGATTGCAAGACAAGCGGCGATTGGGAGTTATCGCGTGGAATACGTGGGGGGCAAGCAGGGGGGACAACGATCGCTTAGTGCTCGAGCGCTGTGCTTTTCATGACGCGCGTCTGGTTCGCATTCGTCTCTCCGATGATGCATGCTGTGGGATATAGCCACAGCTTGCTAGAACCTGAGCGCACGCGAAGCGCGCGCCGAGTTTTAGTATGTTTGTAGGTGTGGAATTATGTATGTTCGTTTGTACGTGTGTATGTATGCATGCATGCATGCGTGCCTGTGTGTATGCATGTATGTATGTACGTATCAACGCATGCATGCATGTATGTATGCATGTCATTGTTTGCATGCATGTATGTATGTCTACCTGTCTGCCTGCATGTATGTATGTATGTATGTATGTACGTACTTACGTACGTACGTATGTATGTATGTATGTGCATGGTTCATGTATGTATGTGGGTGTGTATACATGTATGCGTGTATACGTATATCTTTACGTATATCTAGATGTGTTGCATAGGTATACCGTGACGTGTACATGTCAGAGTGAGGGGGTTGAACCGAACGGTCATTCACTGTCCCTGGGTGCGTGGTTGAAGTGGAATTCCGCGATGCTGATTATTGCTGTTGTTGTTGTTGTTGTTGTTGCTGTTGTTGTTGTTGTTGTTGTTGTTGTTGGTTGTTGTGGTTGTTGTTGTTGCTGCTGCTGCTGTTGTTTGTTGTTAGTTGTCGTCGTCCCGCCCTGCGACCCACCCGCGCCCCACCCGCGACCCGCCCCGCGACCCACCCGCGACCCACCCCGCGACCCACCCGCGACCCACCCCGCGACCCACCCGTGACCCACCCGCGACCCACCCGCGACCCATCCCGCGACCCGCCCGCGACCCACCCCGAGACCCCCCTGGCGACCCACCGCGCCCCACCGGCCCACCCGCGACCCACCCGCGACCCACCCCGCGACCCACCTGCGACCCACCCTTCACCCACCCGCGACCCACCCGCGACCCACCCCGCGACCCACCCAATATTTTCGGCGCCTGCTGCGGGTTTCTTTTGCATTCGTTCCAGGTGGAGAACCTGCGACCCACCCGCGACCCAAACCGCGCCCGGGACCCACCCGTGACCCACCGCGACCCACACGCGACCCACCCCGCGACGCACCCAAAATTTTCGGCGCTTGCGGCGGGCTTCTTTTGCATTCGTTCGAGGTGGAGAACCTGCGACCCACCCGCGACCCAAACAGCGTTCAGTGTACAAGTCAAAATTTTCGGCGCCTGCGGCGGGCTGTTTTTGAATTCCTTTCAGGTGGAGGTGGAGAGCGCGCGTCCCACCCGCGACCCAAACTACGTTCACTGAACATGCCAAAACTTCGGCGCCTGCGGCGGGCTTCTTTTGCATTCGCTCCAGGTGGAGAATCTGCGACCCAAACCGCGTTCAGTGTGCAAACCGAAATTTTCGGCGCCTGCGGCTGGCTGTTTTTGAATTCCTTTCAGGTGAAGGTGGAGAGCCCGCGACCCACCCGCGACCCAAACTTCGTTCACTGAACAAGCCAAAAATTCGGCGCCTGCGGCGGGCTGTTGTTGCATTCGTTCCGGGTGGCCCACCAGCGATCCCCCCCGCGCTGAATTTGTCAGAGCACAAATCACGAGAAACAGGAAAGGGGAGGAGAAGGAGGAGGAGGAGGAGTAGAAGGAGGAGGAGCAGGAGGAGGAGGAGGAGGGCGCCATCGACAGGGAAGGTGAAGGCCACGAGGTCCGCCGGCTCGACGCCCGCGTCGCCCGCGCCCGCCCCCTCACTCTTATCCGCAACTGCGGGGTGCTACGGTATATGTATATGTATCGGTAAATGTATAGACATGCATGGTGTATGTGTGTGCATGCATGTGTGTGTTTGCGTATGTGCATGTATGTATGTGCGTGCGTAAGGTATGTATGTATACACTGCCTGTATGTATGCATACGTGCATGCATCCATGCATACATGCATGTACGCATGTGTGTGCGTATGTACATGTATGTATGTGCGTGCGTAAGGTATGTATGTATGCATTGTATGCATGTATGCATACGTACATGCATCCATGCATACATGCATATATGCATGTGTGTAGGTGTATGTGTGTATGTAAGTATGCATGCGTGCATGTTTGTGTATGTATGTGTATGTATGGTTGTGTGTATGTATGTACTTATGTATGTATGGATGTGTGTATGTATGGTTGTGCATAGTTGTATAGTTGTAGGTATGTGCGTACGTACGTATGTATGCATGTATGTCTGTATGTATGGATGTCTATATCGATTTGTAAGCATGCATGCATGTATGCAGGTATGTAGGTATGCATGTACGTGTGTATGTGCTTATGTATGTATGTTTGCAAACATGTATGCATGTATGTACTTATGTATGTATGTATGTATGTATGAATGTGTATGTATGTATGTATGTATGTATGTATGTATGTATGTATGTATGTATGTAGACATGTATGTATGTATGTGTGTACGTATGTATGTATGTATGGATGTATGGATGTATGGATGTATGGATGTATGTATGTATGTATGTATGTATGTATGTACGTGCGTATGTATGTATGTATGTATGTATGTATGTGTATGTGTATGTGTATGTGTATGTGTATGTGTATGTGTATGTGTGTAGGTGTGTACGCATGTGTGTATGTGTGCATATACACATGTATACATGTGTGTATGTATGCATGCATGCACGTATGTATGTGCGTACACATATCCCTGGCTACGGGGTCCAGGGCCCCGCCCAGGAACCCCGTTTGCGCATGCTGCTCTGGGGCCCCCGGAGCCTCCCGAGACCGCCCCAAGGCAGCCCCAAAACACGGCACGCGGGTTCCCCAGAGGCCCCCAATACGGTCCAAGAGAGCCGAGGGTCGCCGAAACATCGTTCCAGGACGCCCAAGATGGCTTCCAGACGCCCCAAGAGGCCTCCAACACGGCCCACGGGGCTTTCAGGAGAACCCTTGAAAAGGCCCCAAGAGGCAACATTCATTTAGTTCCATTTGGTTTTATGTGGAATTTCGCGTTTCTGCCTTTTCGGCTCCCCGACGCTCCAAGACGGTCTCAGAGGCTCGAAATGTCGCCCCAGCGCGGCCTCAGAAGCCCCCCTGAGGGCGCCGACGGCGCTGGGACGGCCCAAGAGGCCCTCCCAGACAGCCCAAGAGGCTGCCAAGGCAGCCCAAGAGGGCCCCCAGAACCCCTCAAGGGAGGCCCCGGAGGGGGAACCCGAACCGACATTTTGAGCTCTCCGCCCCTTGAAGAAGCGGCTCCCACGAGGTCCGGAGTGGCTCCCAAGAGGCCCCCAAGAGGCCCCCAAAAGTCCCCCAA